GTGAGGTAAAGGTCTTGTTTCAGTCTTTTACATATCGCTTTCCAGTTCAGCCAGCACCATTTATTAAAGAGATTTTATCTTTCCCACTATCAAGGGAGTTTGCAATGCATCCTGGCAGTAACAGAGGAAGGGCATTGAAAGAGCTAGCATTCAGGGGGCTGGGATTGCCCTTAAAAATACTGGTCTGTGAAACACAGCTTCTTCAAGGCAAAGAAAGCAAAGTTAGGCAGGCTTTAAACTGGGCCCATGCCCCTGGCTTTGGAGGCATCCTTGCAAGGGTGGAAATGCAGAGCCCTTACTCTGATGCAATCTGTGATTGTGATGTGCATAGCCACCCTGGTTTAACTCTGCCTCAGCCATGACCCTTCTTTGCACCAAGAACAGCATGGTACTATTGAATAATTCATGGACCTTTCATTGTGTTCCCATAGGAGAACTCCGCGGAGGACCTCCTCAGATTAACATCCAAGAGTTTGCCAGACCTGACCAGCTCCATGGAGGATGTGTCCTCTTGGACTGACAATGAAGATCAGGAGCCGGATGGGGATGAGGACGTAGGGACCAGCTCGCCTTGTGTCCAGGGAGCAGTAAGTGTGCTTCTGGGATGATGGGAATCATGTGCTCCTGGAGACACGGAACCACGACCAGAGGAGAAATGCTCAGATAGGAAGATACAGATGAGGATCCCAGGAGAACCAAGCCTGGTCCAATGACGCTGTATCTGCAGCAGGGAGAGGGGTGGCCAGGACTTCCCTATCCTTCCCTGCTGTGACTTATGAAAGAGCCGATCTACCAGGGGAAAAAAAGAAAGAAGGATGGGAGGGAGGGAGGAAGAAAGAAAGAAAGAAAGAAAGGTGATACATTTGCAGTACAGAACTCCTGGAGTTATAATATTTTTAAAAATTGATGAACCAGTTAAAGAAACCTGGTATGGCTTTTTGTTTCAAAGACAGCAGAGATTAAACCTACTGCCAAATTCCACTCAGCCATGGACTGTTTCTGCACCTGCAAGTCATAGTGTGCTCCCAGCCCTTCGGTTGAGCATATGAACTGCAAATGCTAGCGATCTGCCATGAGTCCCCTTAGTATTTATTTCTCATGGCTCGAATAAACAGTGACCAGACTTCATTTTCAGTAAGCTCCACCCATGCTTAGAGTAAAACCACTTGGTGCATATCAAGTTTGAGGAGTGGTGGTGTGGTGAACGTCCAGGTGTTTGCATCTTTCCCGCCCATCTCGGTGGGTCTGCCTTAGTGATGGGCCTCTCTCACCGTCATCCTCACCAGGTCCAGCATTAAAGACTGCCAGTTTGGCTTAAGAAATATCTAAGGTGAACCCCCCTCTTCTGTCCCACAGACCAGCTGTGGTCCTGATCCACCCAGTCCAACTTCTGGTCTATGAACCCAGCCACCACTGATACCAAGTTCATAGGGATTCCAGTTCATAGGGACCCTCCATAGGGTTTCCAAGGTTGTAGGCAGAAAGCCTCATCTTTCTCCTACAGAGCATTTGGTGGGCTTGAACTTCTGACCTTGAGGTTACCAGTTCAGTGCTTATCCTGCAGATTGTCATCAAGTCGACTCCAACTCATAGTGACCCTGTATAGGGTTTCTGAGGCTCTGAATCTTTATGGGAGCAGAAAGCCTCGCCTTTCTCCCTCGGATTGGCTGGTAGTTTGAACTGCCGACCTCATGGTTAGTTGTTGTTGTTATTGTTAAATGCCATCGAGTCGATTTTGACCCATAGCAACCCTGTATAGTGTTTCAAGGAGCAGCTGGTGAGGTTGAACTGCTGACCTTGCAGTTCAAATGGCTTTGTAGTCTGGTGCATTAACCCACAGCGCCACACCAGGACTCCATGTGGTTAGTAGTCCAGTGCTTATCCTACAGCTCTACATCGGGCCATGTCACTTAACAGTTTAAACTACACCAGCGATTCTCAATGACCCTAAGGTTAAAATCCCAGCTCCTTAACATGGAATTGTGAGTTACACCTTAACCAGGTTTCAGTTCTAATACTGGACTGCCTTCTGTCTCGGCATGTGCTCTCAACTGCTATGCAGGCATACACACTCACACACAGTCACACCCCCATGTCAGCCCCCCATCTTCCCAGACCCACACACATAATTGTTGCTACTTATCTCTTTGGGAAAGGAAAGGAAACACAAAGTTTTTATAATTTTGAAGTCAGGTGTACTTCTTTGAGGCCCCAGTAGGTAGTGAAGTGTTTTGCATTTCGTGTTGTTATTGTTGTTGTTAGTTGCTGTGGAATGGGCTATGATTCATGGTGACCTTGGTGACGATGTAGGTAACCAAGAGGTGTCAGCAGTTCAAACCCACCAGCCACTCTGGGAGAAAGATGAGGCTTTCTGCTCCTGTAAAGATTCACAGCCTCAGATACCCTATGCAGGGTCGCTATGAGCCGGAACCAGCTCGATGGCAGTGAATTTGTTTTGGGGGTGTTATATGTAACAGAAGGAAACGGTTAGCTAGTGCGTTGCCCTAACATTCAGTACAGACTCTGCATAGATTTCTTGCTTGCAAAACTTACAAAACTATCTCAGAGTGTGGTCCCCAGAGCAGCAACATCAACATCACCTGGAACTGTTAGAAACGCATACCCTTCACCCCATATGTAGGAAGCAGAAACTCTGGAGTGGCACCGAGCAATCTGTGTCCTCCTAAGCCCTCCGAGTGATAACACAGAATACAGTTTACGAATCTGTGTGTCAAGCCCTGTATGTTTTACTATTATTAGCTCTTCATAGAGAGTGGGTGTCCTTTCTTGGGCATGAGGTCCCTGGGCAGCACTAACTTAAGGGTTGGTGGCTTGAACCAAGTCAATGGCACCATGAAAGAAAGCCCTGGTGATCTACATGCATAGAGATTACAGCCAAGAAAGTCCCATGGATCAGTTCTGCTCTGTAACATGCGATTGCCATGAATTGGAATCATCTCAACAGCAACAGGCTTGGTTTAGAGTTTTGTTTTCAAGTGTGAACAATTACTGTCCATCTGAAAAGTTAGGTTTTACAGGAGAAAAACTAAAGAGGCCATGCGCTGGCCTTCAGCACAAGGTTTTCAAAAATAAAGAGAGGAGGACAGGTTTCAGTGGAACTGGGCATAAAGTGGGTGATACCTCTTCAGTGATACGGAGTTGGCCTCCATCTGTGTATTTTTAACAAAGACTAAAAAAAAAAAAAAGGAAGTAATGGTGTCTGCCAAATCTGCAGTTGTGGAAGCTGGATAAGGAAGAATTTGTTCAGCACATCAATCAAGAGACCTGTTTCTGGCTTCCGCTGGCATCAAGGGAGTTAGCACTAACATTGGAAAGCGACAGTTTGGGCCAATCTTGGGAAACTCTTGGGTGATTCAGGTTTGAAAAGGAATGGTCGAAAGATCTCGTCTCTGACAAAGAAAGAAGAGGGACTCTGGATGTTACGATTCTGTAAGTCTGAGCTCAGTGTTTGATTATTTGTTTGTTAGTGTGAGAGCCTCACTCATAGTCTTGTAGGGGAAAAAAATAAGATTTTTCAGGAGAGAAATTAAGTATCCTTAGTTTTTGATCCCACAATAGTTTTTGAGCTGTTGATCCCAATGTAGAAAGAGAGGACCTCTTGTGTGTTATTGGGACTGAGGAAGTGTGGCTCTGAATGTTTCAAAAATGCCTGCCTACATAGTAGCAGCTTTTACTGTAGCATCCAAGTGTCATTTCTGGTTGATCCAAGCTGCCTAGGATTGGAAACTCTGTCTTGTTTGAGGCCTGACTCAGGTGTTTCTGGTCTAATGCAAACATTAGTGAGCATCAAGGGCGTGCAAGTAGGATTGTTTTTAAAAGGGAAAAATGCCAGTGTCGTTCCTGCGATCAGATCTTTGAGGAGTAAAACCTTTGCCACCAAGAGCAGTGCTTTAAAACAAGGTTTTAGAAGGAGAGTGAGGCTCTTTCTCTGAAGCCTCCAGGGTAGGTTGTTACATCTGGCAAGCTCAGGCTGCTTCTGTGGACTGAAGGAAACTGTGTCTGGGGAGACTTGTTGCCTCGGTGTTCCTCTGAGCACTGGGCGATCTGCTTCTAGAACTATACGCTCTGCCCCCTGGGTTAGGAGCAGCTTCCCCTGTCCCATACTTGGGACCTCAAGACTAACCTCTTCCAGGAAGTCGTCTCAGAGACACATGGACCCACGTGTGCTTGGGCCTCAGCAGATAATGCACCTTGTATTTTCTTTCAAATTTAAGGTGCAAATAGTTAATGAGGTCTTCCACAAACTGAAAGTTCAGTTCTGCCTGGAAGCACTTAGGAAGAAAGGCCTGGTGATCTACTCCTAAAAAATCAGCCACTGAAACCTCAACGGGACACAGTCCTCCTGTGACAGCAACTGGTCTGGTTGCTTGGTTAATTGGTTGGTTGGTTTTCCTTCATGGCCCTGAACACAGATTGTATCCATGTGTTTCTCCATGTGGTGGCTCCACTGAGGGGCAGGAAGCAGTTCCTTCACTCGTTCCTTAAGCAACACTTCAGCCGGGACTCACTCGACATAGATAAGAGGAGACATGTCCACGCAATCAGGGTGTAGACCTGGCCGGCCAGACAAAACCCGAGCAGGATGTCTCAGAAAACAAGATTTTAAATGGAGCGTGGTTTTTGTTTGGTTTGGCTTCATTTTTAAGGAGATGAAGTGATTATTTAAATAGATGGTGGTGGAGGTAGAAAGATAAGAATTCTTATTTGGCCTGGATGAATTGCCCAGCAAACTGCTGAAATTTGAATTACAGCAGATCTGTTCTCACTACATGCTTTCTGGGGCCTGTTCCAATTCACTGGGTCAGTGTTGCATTTTATACAAACAGCTTGCAGTTCTCAAGGCACCAAGCCACTCAGGATGGAAATGCAAACGCCGTGTACCACAGCCTATGCCGAAGGATCAGCACTGGACTGCTAACCTCAAGGTCGGCAGTTTAAACCCACCAGTTTTTCCTGGGAAACGCTACACATAAGTCTCTATGAGTCAGAACTGACTCAATGGCACTTAACAACATCCATAGTACACAGACCTCCAAGGTGGGGCGTACACCCGTGCAATGGGTGGACAGTGAAAGGGTCCCTTGGGGTATGGGAGAAAATGATCAGAGACTGTGTATATTTTATCTTCTTTTAGGTGGTGTTTTTTTTTGTGTATGGTTGTCCATATATACATTAGTATAATCACCTAGGTTTAGCTTTATAAACAGACGTTGGGAGTGCTTGGTGGCTAACCCATCGTCATGGAGATAATTCTAACTCGTGGTAACTCCAGGTATTACACAACATAACTGCTGATTTCTTGGAAGTAGTTTGCCAGGCTTTCCTTTCGTGGTGCCATTGGGTGGGTTCAAACTGTCAACCTTTAGGTTATTTCTTGTTATTGTTGGTAAGTGTTGTTGATAGGTTGTGTCGGTTCCAGCTCATAGCGACTCCATATTGGGTTCCTGAAGCGCAGCTGGTGGGTTAAAACTTCTGACCTTACCCTAACAGTCCCATGCTTTTATCCTTCATCACCAATAGTGGGGGGCAAACCATTTGCACCTCCCAGGGACCTGCTCTATGGCAA